CACTAGGTAGAGCTCATTGTTCGCTTTCTTATGATGCTGGCGCTGAACCCTGTTGATTTATCAGTCTACTGCGTGCCGCGGTGGCCCTCAAAATGATTCCAGCAGGGGTTAGTATTCCTGTGCCTTAATTCTAGCCTTAGCCCAAACTCAACCTTAAAGCTACTTCTAATCACCCTGGAAACTAACGTAAGGCCCCCGGAATAGGGGGCTTCTTGCCCCGCGTCATGCCGTTTTCTGCAGTAACATACATTCTACTACCAGATGTGTATGTGTCTGTTTGGGGCAAAGCAGCGAAGTCAGTTTATTCGCGTAAAAAGCTGAGCATTTTTTCTGCTTAGAAATAAAATAGTGGCTTCGTTTTTCCGAGCCTCCTAATCTCTTTAGCCTCGCTCATCACTAAATTTCGAAAGGCATTTATAAACTCATGTGCATTCATAACCCATTCATTTACCAGTATAATAAGCCGTCAAAAGTGTGGTTTAAATTCCCTTCAGCTCATCCTCCAAAAGACAAATCTAAAGACCGTTTTCAAAACAGCGGCAAATGTCAAATTCGCTGGTCAGTAATTGCTGCTTATCGTTAGCAAGCACGACATGGTAAAGAGGAAAATTTCAGCAAGGGAAAATAACCTTCTGGCAACCACAGCTATGTCCTCTTAGTCTGTCACAAATTTGTTAACTGCCGAAATTCGACAAAATGTAAAACCCTACTTCGGTTTCAGACTTTGTTGGCCATTTTCACCCTGCGATATTCGTCGCATTCATTCACTGCTTACTCAGTATTGTTGTAAGCACGCGTTCCGTCGATAGTATAATGCATGCCGTTCAAAACAGATGTCTTACCATAAACCCGTTGATTCTCTGTCAAACAAGGACTGCAACGCCGAATTCCTCGTCTTATGTGGTTCATACACCGCTCAAGTTCAGAGATATCGATTTGAATTTCAGTCAGGAAGGCAAAGAGCAACTCGAGGAAGAGTTATTTGCGACTGGCCTTATTTATTATATTATCTTCACAAAGGCGTGAATTGTTAAGCAGAGTCCACAGAAAAATCCCTAGTGTTTGCCTATAGTATCTGGAGTGAAAATTCCCCCGGATAGAAGAGTTTAAACATGCAGCCATAATGCTGAATGCACTAAAACGAGGGAGTTATACCTTGACAACGACTCGTGTATACGGGAGTTAATGACAACAAGCATTTCGGACTTTATGGGGCTGGGCCATAATTTTTCCGAGCAGCTACCATAAGTAGCCCAACAAAAAACTTTCCTGAAGGCGTGACCTGCGAGATTGTTAGAACAGATTGTTAGTACGTAGTGAGTTGAAATGCGTAATTAATAATAAATTTTAGAACAAACTGGCCTGACAACAGAGTGCAATCAAACCGATCCAAACTCCTAGAGAAGTGAAGAACTTACTCTCGCATGACAGTGTTTATCGACGGCACACTACATCTACGATAAACGAGTGCAAACAACATTATGTATGTTGGGCCGCACTGCAAGACCGTTTGTGATTTGAACGGAAACTTGAACGGTAATTCACTGACTCCTCTAAATGCATCAGGAAGATGTTGAGGCAGTTTTGATGTCCATAAATGTCAAAGATACTTTTGCTGTTTTTTTAACTCGTAACCTATCATCGTCACTTAACGAAAGTTTAACATTACCGAAAAAGACAAGAGAGGCATGAATGACCATTTCTGGCTTATTAGTCGTCGTCAGCCAGTCATGCCCAACCCCGAAGTGTGGAAAACCTGGGGCTCGATCTCGCGACCTGTTAGTTAAATGTCTAACGCCTTTAACCACTGAGCCCCGGAGCTCGTTGTTCTGTCGGTTGCGATCGGGAATATACAATGGTAGACGGGCACTCACCGGTCGTTTTAAACAGAACTCACTCGTTTCGACTGGCTGACGACGGTTAATAAGCCAGTAATGGCCATTCCAGTCTCCTTTTTCTTGGTCAGTAAAACCATTCTGCCTATATCATGCACCGCTGTGCGGCTACTGGTTGGGCTTTAGAGAGAGAGAGAGAGCCCTAAGGCACAACGGTACTCGTGGGTTCCGTAAAAACGATGGGTGAGCGTCCCTTTACTAACGGGAGTTTTCCTCGACATCCGCAAAAATCTAAAGCACCCAAAGCTGAAGGCAGTTTGAGTATGGAGCCTCGGTGGTTCTCCCTAAAGTCCCACAACAGGTAGCTTCTAGGGCTCCTTTAGTGTTTCCTAGTTTTAAGTTGCATTTCTGTAGGAACCCAGTCATTGGCTTCTGGACCGAGTTAAAAATGCTTTTGAGCAATAAAAAGGAAGTATTGCTTGACCTAGGAATCTGAAAACAGCCTTCTGAGAAGAGAACTAAATTTACAGAAGGAAAACCCAACGTACGAACTCACGTCTTGCAGATTCTGATTCAAATCAGAGGTAATTACTACCATTGACCTGGATCTCGACCAAGCCAACACCATAAATAAATCCCTTCCGTGTATTTGTTTTGGATATTCGTTTGTGCTTTTGAGTACATGTCCATGTTTTGGCTCTCGATCTCAAACAAACCAAAATCACGTCGAACGAAAGCAAGCGTTCTTCCAGGCCTACGTCGACTCAAGGACAAACTACTTCTAATTCTGCTCGTCTGATATTCCAACTGTTCGATTGCTCGGAAGGACGGAATTTCAGGCAAAATATCGCTTTTCGTTGTTTGAGTAGATGGTTACTTTACTGAGTGGTAAATTTTCCCCTCCCATATGTAGACTTATTAAGCCGAGTTATGAAATAGGACATATAGCGGAACACTTCCGGTTTTCGGAGGCATCTTCCCAGCTCAGTTTCCACCCTTGAGTGCCTGCTTCCCTCTATGACTGTGCTGTTCGAGGTGAAGGAGTGCACTCGGTCTTTTCAAGGAACGCCCCCAAACGTCCTGGCAGGAGTTTGCCGACTTCCCTGAAGGACGCTGTTTACCGTTACCCACTCCGGCGGTATCGCTATGGATGGAGTGAAAGTGTTTACGCCTTGTCCATAAAATCGGTTTTGAAAGTCCCTCTCCTACTATACAAATCCAGACCACATTATGTGGCAGGACAGTGTTCGCTTCCTTCCACCGTTCTCGTATCCCTCTAAGCACAAGTCAGACCGCAGTAAACAGAACGCACCCATCTTGGCCAAAGCTGGTCCAATTAACTAGTGTTCCTATCATTCTTCCATTCATACTGATCTATTTACTGATCTGTTGATTCCAGTCTGTCGTCAGGTTCTTAGTATAGTTGCGTCTTTCCCTAAAAAACCAGAGGTTCAAACTTCCAAAATCACACGCACGCCCATCAGTGCTGTAGACTCACTGAAGTTACTGCCTGCGCGGCTACGCCACAACGCTGCTTCACTTTCGTTCTTGACCGGATATGCTCGATTTAAGACAGTTTTGCCGCGAATCGACCACAGAGCCACAGTTAGCGGTAACATGTAAAAATCTTGATTTTTACAAGGTACCCCCGTGTACTGTTCTTAACGAAATTGTCTGACAGTTGGTAGGCATTAGTTTCCTACAAAATGGAACAGGCCACCAGCGTGCACGTCCCCACATCGGACTATTCAGTGGAAACAAAATCGAACATCTGCGTAGACCATATCCCAACTAAGTGTGCAATCATTCGCGCCGATAGAAACTGTCATACCTTCCTAATCAAACACCACTAAGTCCATCCAATCACTCCCCCCCTCTCCTCCAGGTCCGATTAACCGTCCTATTTTTAGCAGACCAGGCATGAAGTGCTTGTTTGTCTGGAACAGCAATCGCTTCAAATTTCGCTGAGTCAAAAATGGGAGTTGAAGGACTGCACTACCGCCCGCGATTTCGAGGCCACGGGCTGGAACGTCCTTCTGATTGTACGCTTTAATAAGTGATTTGTAACTATCTTTTACTGGTATTCGTCCCGCCAACAAAGGAGTCTTAGTAATGACATCAAACGCCGTGCCACGGGAATTGGCCAGACAGGACCAACTAGTGTGCAAGCTAAGAGACTGACTTCAGCGGCTTGTCTTGGGTCCGTCCAAATATAACGAAACAAACGATAAAATGGCTTTTTTTCCACTAGAATCCTGAGTACTTAAAGTTAGAATCCTCGGACTCGGACGGGAAGAATGCTACATCCTGCCGACCGAGCTATAATTTTAGTTTTCTGACTGTTTTAGGCCAAAACACCTTGGTTTTGGATCTCAACATTAAGTGCGGACGCATGATAGGTTCTAAAGTCGTTTCTTTTACAAAAGAAGGTATCCTGAAAGGACCGCGCCCGGATTTTACCGGATTAACCTTTCAAAAATGAGGGTTGTTTAGACAACACATCGTGGGGACAGTGTCAACCATCACTGATTCGACTGGCGATTTCCAATTAACAGAAAGGCCCGGCCTCCGTAAAAGAACGAAATGTCATGCACCAAGCCAAGATTATGGTGACCGAAGAATACTGGCTACCCGTTCCTTCTTGAAATTAAAAGAGCTTACTTTCCGATTGTCTTGACCCAGTCTTGAAATTCTGACCTGATCAACTAGGTAAGTATAGTAAGGAGAACCCTGGACCCAGCGCATTCAAGTTGATGCCCAAGTGACCATCCCGAATAACCATGCCTCATGCCGGAACTGACAGATGAACTGTCGGCAGATAATATTTTATATAAACACACTAAACCACGCTAGTAAACAGAAATACGTACTTGCTAATAAAATAAGTTCCTCAGAGTAAATTTCTAACAGCCCCAGTGAGGGAAACATGGTTTGCAGCTATGCATATGGGATTCGACCAATCTAGGAAGGCGGAAGTCCAGAGATTACGAGCAACAGCAAACACAAGTTCTACAAAAGTAGGCGGAGCAGTTTTCCGCGGAGAAGGATAGATAGACCTTGTGAGGTAGATATTGCAGTGAATATCAGACGCCCCAAGCGAAGGAGAGATTGAAAGAGCCCGACTAAAACGTCCCGAGAAAATTGAGAAGCGAATCCGCAGAGGCGCTAGAGGAGGACGAACTGTTGCAGGTTTGTCTTGCATAGTGGACAAGGGAACTGAAAATAGAGATGTTCATAGAGGTATACAAGCAGTCCTGCCAAAATAATTTCCTTATAAAAGCCGCAATTGTCTTGAAATTATGCGCAGATCTGTTGGTGTTTCAAAGTATATCGAGAAAGGACTCGTTTTTACAAAAGCTCTGAGTCGCAATTCAATTATCTAACACACTTGCCCTAGGTAAATTAGGACGTTTCTTAAGTGCTGAACAGTCCGCTAATTAGGAGGCACAAAAGGCGGTGCTATCGCGGTCTGGCCATGAAGATCCGCTTTCTCATTGAGCTTAGGCCTTCTCGGCCCGACTAGTGATGGCAAATAGGTCAGAAATGGCCACTTTAGCCCTCCTCCTCGTTTTCAGAAATACCTCGCGACTATAATTATAGCATAATTTACGTACATTAACTGTTATTAATAGATTGCCTGGAGCAGCGAAAGAGGAAGTTAGTGTAAGGAGAGCATAACGAATGAAAAATACGAACCGGACGCCAAAGAAACCACATACGTGTGCGTTGAAAAATGCGCGGAAAGGAACAAGACTACGGAGATGTTGCAAAACTGCTTGACAAGGCAGATTTACGCGAAACGGATGTGCATACAACGGGCAAAATTTCGTTATGAAAAGGAAAAATGGCCTGATTAGAGGGGAAAAGTTTGCATTCCCAGAATGAGGGCAAGCAGACGAACAACCCCGCTAATTTTGATATTTTGAAAACACGTAAGCCACATCATCGGAAGCTTGCTAGCAACACCTCTCGACATTTAAGTGCTGCTGGCCATGATGGTGCCCCGTAGTCCCCGAAGTGCTCGCCAAAGTTTCCTGAAGGCCAGACATCGAGACTGGCCTTCTCCTATACGGGTATTCGTATTGACTTCCCCTTCAGGAAATTCGCTCAGACTAGATCATGCTCCTTACTGAACCAATCCACTGTTTTGCAGGGCAGGGAAGCAGTCCTAGAAGTGGTGGTGGTGGTGGTGGTGGTGGTAGTAGTGGTAGTAGTAGTAGTAGTAGTAGTAGTAGTAGTAGTAGTAGTAGTAGTAGTAGTAGTAGTAGTAGTAGTAGTAGTAGTAGTAGTAGTAGTAGTAGTAGTAGTAGTAGTAGTAGTAGTAGTAGTAGTAGTAGTAGTAGTAGTAGTAGTAGTAGTAGTAGGGGTAGTGAAATTTAGTATCCACTTTGGTAAACAAATGTTTGACTCGGTAGTGCAGAGACTTCCACTGTATCTGCAGGTAGGTAATCTCCTTGGAGGAGCGTAGACTGAAATGACAGTCGCGCAATTCAGGCCATCTAGATCGCTACGCTGGGGGACCGGTGGCAACATGGTCTGGGAGGTAGAGCGATGGCATAATCAAACGGACGAATAAGTTCGTTGACAACGACATAAACGACGAAGACATTTAGGCGAGAAAACATTAAAACAGTGGAATCAGATCAGGCGGAAAAGAGCCGCATACCTTCAATTCCGGTCGGATATCCGGAGGACAGTGAGGATTCTTGGACAAAATTTCCGCCAACTCATGAGAATATTCATCGGCCAGGTTCGTATGATAGGTGGAAATGCATTTCTTGTGGAAGAAGTGGTCACAGGGCGAACGATACACATCTTCCTCCTGTTGAAACGCTTCGAAACAGATAGCACAATCGATGGAAGGGGTGTTGCTGGCGACGAATTCTCGACAACACTGCAAGAAATAGAGCAAGGGATGTTGTGAAAAAATAATACATCAGGCAGAGGCAGCCTTACGTTTATTATAACAGTAACTGGTAAAACGGCAAATGAATGTGCTGTCCAAGTTCCTTATTTTACATTTTAAACATTAAGCAATCACTGAAAGGCAGTCAACCCTTCTTGCCGCATCGTTTTAGGTCCAGGACGGTCCAGGTGGTAGACAAATGAGCCAACTTCAAAACAACGAAATTTGCACAGACTCGTGACAGTAACGTCCGTTAATGGAGACGTGCAATGGTGGTGAATTTTAGAGTTTCATCAACAACCAAATTCTGGGCCCTGGAAACAAAACTAATTTCTGATAATTAGTCCATACGACCTCAAGACAAAATAACGGTAATGGTCGCCTACTCCCTTTCACCCAATGAGGAAAAAACTTGGTTGGACTGGTTAAAAATATGTCATTTCGACCTGCAACCAGGAAGGCAGCCTGCGATTTGGTTTAAATCAGCACAAGTGAGTAAGAGCAGACTATGGCACCCAAATGGTTGGGCAACACGAAGAAATGTGTTGTCAAACAGAGGTGACCCTGTCACCTAGTATTCACTGGCTGTCTATCAAGGAGCCGTTGGAGACTCAAACGATAGGTAAATATCCTACGAATACAGGCCCAGGTGAAGTAAGCCGCACGTGGAGCACTAAACAATATTTCCCGCCTCATCCCACGTGGTCAGTTGTCTGTTTTACGCATTGTCCGATTTAGCTGGACACGACATTGAATTGCATGAAAAACATCAGTAGTAGGCGTGATTAAGACGTTAACTAGTACGAGTCAGTGGGCCAAATTAAAAGAAAACGAATCTTCAGTTCTGAGAACATTTTTCCAGGACACGCCTACGGCAGCGAAACGTGTTATGCTATAGAACTGATGAGCCCAAATCGAGATACTAGAGTCCCAATCCAATCCGGTAATGGATACAGTACAGTTTTACAAAATTGTCGAGTCCGACTAGGCGTTTTGGACATAAGTGTTCATGCAAAAAAATCATGTAGGCAAGACGAAAACACCGAGGAGTCGTGTGCGTTAAACACCGATTACTTATAATAACATGATAGGCCGAAATGTGGTAAGGCAAAAATGACGAGATTATTTGTTTGCCCAACAACAACTACGCGGGATAAATAAGGGACTACCCTTTTCCCAAGTAGAAGGCTCAGAGTCTAGACAATGATTCGCCTGTTTGATTCTCACGCAAAGAACAATGGGCAAGCCCCAGAGGCGCCTAGACAATCGAGGAAGAAGCGCATTTCAATAAGAAATTCAAATGTGGAACTCCTACTCTTCTCCAAGCACCAGTAGACAATAGTTGGTGGACCGGGTCGGAGGAAGATCACCCCAGTGCGGTCAACTTTTTTCGGTGGTAGGCAAGGTCTGCTACGTTTGTCGTTACTTACAATAAGCATTTGTTAGAATTATTCATCTAACTATGTAAATGAATGCTTGTACTCACTTCTGGTCGGATACCCCACATTACTTTTATGATAATGACCAACTGCTTAAATGGGAAACGAATTCTACTACAGGGAAAAATTTGGCACGAGGCTGCTTTACGATTCCACGAGCACCGCTTTGCATCTAGAGTGCCCTGTCTAAAGTATCGTTACACCTTCTGTCGATCGTTTCTGGTGTTTACGTTCCCGAATCATGCTCCATGTTAAAACAAGAAATAACGGGACATGGATGGGATTCGTCGAAGGGGGCCTCCAATGTATCTTCGAAGGTGTCACCTGTAGTTTGCGAGGTGATTACGTGTTTACTTGAACTTGTTACGGCTGCAATTATGCCTGATCTAGCCGGCCTCGATGATGTCCCGAACTGTACCCCGCCATGCGTGATGAACCGCGACAGCAGATTTGGACAGTTCAACCAATTCTCTTCGCCAACGACGGAGACCGAATACCGATGGTCTAAGAACCCCCTCCACGGCTGGACGAACTATGTCGGACCAGGTTTTAAGTTGATCCCCTCTTTGACGCCTCCAATGGGGTAACAGTGCCGGATTGAGGGCAGTAACGCTAAGCTCCTGAAATGTACGACGATAAAGTGACCAAACCACCTCAGTCGCCTTTCTTGCATGGCCTGGGTTATCCTTGTGATGTTGTCGCAGTGAGCGCACTGTCTCATTTGAGTCAAAGTTGGTGTACTTCGCTCAAAGGATGGTCCTCAAGCAGTAGCTGTCGAATAACTCCAGTTTTCGCTCGTCTACGCGCACGGTCTGACATTCACAATCATCGAAGACAGACCGGACAGATGCACGGTGCACGCGAATTTTAGTGGCGATGGAGATGTCATGTCGGATCCATAGGCACTTTCTAAGGCTTGAGAAAACCCGGCGGGCAGTATCAATTCGGGAGACAATGTCACCGCTACTCTGCCCATTCGGCGGCAGCCTCGCCTCCAGGTCTTTAAGACGGTCTACTTGTTCATGTTGACAGCCACCAATCTCGGCGGTGCCTTGTCCTGGTCAGGGATGCAGTTTGAGCGCACTTTAGTCTTCCCAACATTCGTAGATAAACCGACTGATTTGGCGACCTCGTTCACTCGTGACATCATAGACTGCTGATCACCAAAACCTGAAGCAAGTAAGGCAGTATCATCGGCATAGTCGAGATCAGTCAGTCGGTTTCCGGGTACAGACTCAACACCTTAACCTTCGTGTGGGGCCCTCCCGAGAATCCAGTCAATAGCGTAGCTGAACAGAATGGACGACAGCATACAACCCTGTCGAACGCCAGACTGAATACAAAACGGTTTAGAAAGATTGTTGCGGACCATGATCTGCGTGGCGGTGGAGCGATAATATGCCTATATCATGCAGATGATTTTTGGCGGTACACCATCTAGTGCCAGTATCCGCCACGAGGACTCACGAAAGGCGGAATCGAACACCGGCGGCAATGTCAAAAAGACGGGCGGCCGTTGGTTGTTGGTAGCTATGGCGAAACTCGAGAATGCGCTTTAGTGTGAATACCTGGTCCGCGCATCCACGCCCAGCACGAAATCCGGCTTGGTTGGGCCTCGTCCTTGAGTCACGCACAACCTGGGACCGTCTGAGTAGGACAATAGCGAAGATCTTCGCAACAACCTCGATGAGGCTTATGTCGCGGTAGTTCACGCACCTTATCTCTCTTCTTGAGGATAGGTACAAGGACGCCTAAGCCTCACTCATCAGGAGCAACTTCCTTTCTCCACGCTTGTCCAATCACCCCATGGGGCCAGGGTGCCAGTGTTGACACAAGACTTGAAGACTTCATTGGGTATACCAACCTCTTCGGGTGCCTTGTCATGGCGTAGCTGACGTATGCCATCGGCGACCTCTCCCTCAGAAGGGGGTTGCATGGCACTGCATAGGGTGGAGAGGAAAGAAACTCCGCTGCAGAGGAGAGCAAGGGCGTGGTGGGTTAGGCACTGAATTGAAACGGTGCTCGAAGTGCTCACGCCAGCGCTCCGCTTTGGTCGTCGTCAGCAATAAAGACGCCAATCACGTTGTGAACAGAGTCACTCAGTTTAGAGGGGTTACCACTAACTTGGCGGATAAATTTGCAGAGTATTTGAGTGTCACCAACGTTCGAGGCCTGTTCAATGGAGGTCGCTATTTCGGCCCAAGGTCGAAGGCCTAACTTACTGAGTTTTGCGTTAGTCTTTTGATGGCTGGTAAAGGTCAAAAACAATCAAATGAGAAGAGGCTACTTTGAAACATGGGGTCAAGCGAATCAGACAGGCTGCTGTTATCGCACTGATTTAATACCAATCTCTCCGGATACCTTTAACCCATCACCTGGAGTTGACGGAACGATATAAAGCCTAAGCCGTGAGTTTATTAATAACTAACTAGCGACCGAAATGCCTAGTCTTTGCATTGAAACGAGGAGTTTATGATGAAATTAGATATCGCAGGAGATCTAGAAAAGAAGATGCCTGTATGGCGGATTGTTGCTATGCTCAAACAAATAGTTTATTCGGCATCAAACTTAACATTTTCGTTCGGCTAATTGAACTGGGGGAAAAAGTCCAACAGAAAAAGTCACCTCAATGAGAGGGAATAAAACCAAGTCGCCTCTGCTGGCTTCAATTATACTGACTAAAAGATTGTGCAGCTGTTCCACGTCAATGTCCGAAAGTCCGAGGGCGTTTCTGAGGCTAAATGTAGGAGCTTCGGACGGATACTAGATTCGATAACAGATAGGATGAAAAATAGACAAAGTACCGTGACAGGACAAAAAATGTTCAGCTGCACTGAAACTTGAACATTATTTGTCTCCACCGCTGGATTAATAACCAACGAGATGCTGTGACCGTGTCCCCTAAAGTGACAAAGACTATATGATGGAATGAGCATAACTCACAAGTCCTGTACTGAAAGTGCATCTGGAAAGGTCTCACGCAAGAGCTCTAGCTCGCCATCCATTTGCCTGACCGAAATTGCGTACCTGCGTTAGAAGAAACCCTTTTCAAGGATTCGATTACCGCCGCTCGATCAATTGTACATTATCTAGCTGAAAAAACGTTCAAGTTGGTAAATAAACTGCAAACTTTAATTCTGGACATCTTAAATGGTCACTTTTTGCTTCGAGAAAATAAACTTGGTGGGAGCACATGGAAAAGTCCGACAGATAAGTACTAGGTATGGTTGTTCCAAAATAAGGCATGCGCATAACGTGGAAAGTAATCAAACATATAGAGGCGGCGAAAAGATACTAAAGTTTACATCTCAAAAGCTTTGCTGCGGCGTGTGCTAAGTGAGTGAAATCGTAACACTAATGACGGGCAGAAATAGATCCATCCAAGTTTTTGTCAGCGGAGCGTAGGTGTATAAACCTCAGGGATTTTGATATCCTAACGCTGCTTTCCAGGTAATCAATATATTGCTGGAGTTAAAGGCTTAATTTTTACCGCTGTTAGAGACTATATAGAGGGAAAGGGAGGCATGAAAACGGGGAAAAGTAGCTTATGCATGAAATAAGTAGACTGCCGTTCGGGCAAAGAATAAGATCCGAACTTTCGGACCGATTCGAGCTCGAATTTTCGCAGACCCCATATAGCAAGGTGGCTCGCGTATGCATGGGGTATTGATGCTTCAGGAAGCTCGCGATTGGATTAGTTCTTAGGTCCACTGCGCAGGCTTTGCGAATGGCGCAAACGACCGAGTGCACCTGCATTTGTTTATCGATTGGCTCCGGTGCTCACTAATACCCGCGCTTTCCCAGGCACCTCGGCGCTCTCGTTGACTAACTGACTCTCTTTGCTTTACTGTTTTTTTACTATTTAATTACAAATATGTTAAATTGTAATAGCGGCCAAAATCGCCGAGGTCACGCACGTAGAGGAACACAAAAAATAATACACAGAATCAACGAGAAGGCGAGGGGAATATCGTCGTCAGACACATCATCTTCAAGTTCGTCAGACAGATTCGCTTACGATTCTGATTCCTCAACTATGTACGATGACGACAGCTCTTCTACGTACGAGGACGGCCAGTCAACGTCAAATGTACCGGAAAAGGAGTCGGGCGCATGTGAAACCTTGCGCAAGCGGGTTTTACGCTCACAAACGCCACAGTTCCATGTGAACAACCTTCTAAAGATTTTAAGACCGTTGTTGCCGGATCTCCCAGCTGACGCACGAACTCCGTTGATCGCAGCAAACATCCCTGTACCCGTAACGGCAATGCATAGTGGTGAATACGTTCATTTGGATCTTGTAAGGTACAGGTCTACGTAGGAGGAGAAAATACTGCAGCATTCGCTACAAAGACATTCTTCGCACATTTCAGTGAGGACATTACCCGGTTTCTAACTTTCTGCGGGGGGAAAGCGGGAACAATGGGGTATATAGGTATAGTCCCTGATAACACTTAGGTCTCCAGGGCTATCAGGGTACCGGTACCCTGATAGCATTCTGTCGTCCAGGGCTAGCCCGGTCGCTCGGTCACAGGCTAGAGTTATGATTGACCGAATTTCCCCAGCAGTTTTGGCAGACACTGTCTACACGCGTGCAGTAAGTTGACGCGCCTTCTTGGGCGAGTTGGGGGCGGTGTTGCCCGAGGCAACTTAATTCGCCAGACGGGCGTGCACGCGTGCGTACGCACAAAGTTACTCCGCAGACGTGTCATCCAAAATGCACTCAGGTGAGCACCGAGTAACGTCAACCCATTAGATTACTAGCCCTGCGCTAGCCTGCAAACCGAACGCGTTAGCAAATGTCTAGCCCCGAGCGCCTAAATGACATCATGGGGTAGCAGAGGATTATTTGAATGATAAAGTGAAGACTCTTCGGAAAATTGAGTTGTACTCGTAAATTTGAATCTCCAATTTACGCCGTCATCCTGGGTAATATTAGTTTTTTGCGTAATTGAAGAATGACATTCTTGGAGGTTTTCAGTACATGGAATAAGAACAACAAGCCCGATCGACAGCAGCTAGAAAGGGCATTAATGCCCTTTTAAATGCTTTTAAAAAGGCTCACGACCGTTACCAACGGCACGCGAACTACCAATAGTAGTTTGTAGTATATTCGTGTTATTTATAAATTTCTCTGCCTACAATAAGCAAGATTGTATCCACTTAACCTTGTGCAATATTTCCCCGGTAGACCTCCCATCGACAACCGACGAGTAGGCCACCCAACAAGGAGACCAACTGCCTTAGCCGATTATAACAACCCGCTCATGGGCTTGTCATGTAAATCCATCCCTTTAAAACGGTTCGTCATAAAAAAGGCTTTCGCCAGGCGAAATCCTACGCATACTTAGTAGACCATAATTACTTGTAACATTGCTCCGAAGAGCTATTTTACGAAACTACCACCAGGCGAGACCGGAGCGCGACCAAGGAAGTTTATGAAGAAAGTTTCGTCTAACTCTGTCAATGATTGACAACCACATATCATGGCCCTAGGCAAGAGTCCTCCGCTATTTTCAATGACTGGAGTAAATTAATGTGCCCAGCGCAATGCAGCAGCTTGTGGTCCTATCTACGCATCTGCAGTCCTAATTTCAGTCAATAAACTCTCTCTTGCCAATTCACTATTTATCGCCATTTCGTATCTCATTCTCGCAACATATTTGTCCGTTTTTGCTTCAGTCCCTCTACTGTAACGAACAAAGTTATCTGGGATGTTCCTTATGCGCCCGTCTAGGAAGCCTCAACTCTTTCTTCAACGATACCAGTTAAAACATCAACCTGCACGTCCAAGCAATGTTGATAGAAAAGGCGACAAATATGATATGGTAAAGTTGGTCAGATCAAGACGGCTAACAGTAACAGTAGGAAGACTCAACAAGTGTACATGTGACTCGTCTGATTGATGAGATTGTTAATGGACCGGGAGAAGACGCCGTATGAGCCTAAATCTGTAAACAGCTGCAAAATACAACATTATGGGAAAGGGGGATAGTAAAATGTATGAGGTCGCAGGCAGTTTAACGAGAAATGTAAGCTGTAACGGCCGCGCTCACACGATATTCACTCGGGAGAAATACGTAATAAACAATGCTTCGAAACTCAAACAAATCTTCGTCGGTTTTCGTTGCTGCCTTTTATTGTGTTAAAATGCAGTTTATTTCCCAGATCACCTAGTCTTCGGGACTTATTGTTTTTTGGCTGTAGGCATGTGGCCAGCTCAATCATCTTAGTTTGCACGATTTCAGTGCGCGAGAATCAAGAAACCCGGGAAACAGACAGTGATTTTTTCGTTACCTTTGCAATGCTTGATCTTGGCCTTTAAAAGAAGCCCGTCGCTTTGACCAGAACTCTGATATAAACGAAATCCATAACCAATGTTTTACATTTGCGTCCAAGAGCAGATGGATTATCCGTACTTGTGACATCTACAACATCTTTCAAAATTCATTTAATCACTGATTGCAATAGAATCCCCCTAAAGACAACCGTGATTTTCAGGTCGACACAGATACAGCCATCACCGAGTTCTTTATCTTTACTCTGAAGGGAGTAAGAGGGAACATCAGTTTAATTAAATTACACAAGTCTCCTGGACTGATACTTAAGGAATTTTCCGCATAGCTACCAACGACTTTCATCTTTGTTTAGCCTGTCATTGCAAGCGGGATGCTTGCTTCAGGAGCGGTAGTCAACCAAGTCAGCAAACATTTTGGGTCAATAGGTTTAAGTTGCCTTTCTTGCATGACATTGGAAGTCCTTATAAATCATGATGTGGTACAGTTTTTGGATGCGAAGGACATTCTGCTGAGTTTCGGCGTGATGTTTGACGAGAATTTCCCCGTCTCTCATATCCACCGACTTATTCGGGTGTCTGGACGAAAGTTTAAGAAGGGGACTTCGAAGTAAATGGAGTGTACATTAGTTCTCCTAAGGCCTTCGACGCTATCCCTCATCATCGCCATTTACACTAACTGAACAATCTTTTGAGCAGGGCACAGCTCCTGAACCGGATATGGGATTTTCTGGTTGGTCGAAACCAATGCATATTTATCTAAGGAAATCAATGTGACCGTCCGAACGTGGTCGGTGAGGTTCCTCAGGGCTCGCTGTTCGGACACATACTCGTCATCCTCTATGTTAGTCACGGTCTTCATGAATTCTACTGTGGCAAAGCGACGTTGGCTGAAAAACTTAAGTTCTGGCAAATAATTAAGGGTCAAAATGACAAGGAAACCACTCGAAGTACCTTAAAATGACTGCATGTGTAGTCTGAGTGATGGCTGCTGAATTTCATTGTAGAAACGTGCGCCGCCATCTATCTATCTCCAGTCAACTACCATGCGAACGACAGCATGAGGCATATTTCCGGAAAGGTATTCAACTTCTTAGTGAGTCTTCGCAAAAGGATTTTGGTGTCTGAATGCAAAGTAATATGAAACCATCATTGTGATGGGCCAATGCTGCAAAAACCCACTGAGGTAATGCGCGCTATCTTAAGGACTTTTGCAGTTTTCGACGAAGGCTTGTTAAAAACATTAGCAGCACCTTTGTCTAACCTCGTCAAAAATAAAACACACAGACATGATGACAGTGACTGGGAAGGAAAACATAATATGCCTTGAGGAAGTACAGAGTATGGTGAAAAGCCAGCAGGAGTTCTCACCTAGATGGAGGGAAGGGGCTTTATCTATCCCCTCTGTGTTGCAGGCAGCGAAGGGTGAGCTGCACGTATGTGGGGCGTGGGAATGTTCGGTTAGGGACGTCCGTGCTTGAGTGGTAGGTCGCATCATGCTTCGTGTGATCCTTAATTGGTGCCCAACTCTCCCCAATGGCTCCCGAAGCTGGATTCTGCCTAGCGACCACACCCTGGTAGCCGCTCCGACCGGCGGGCTAAACCAGGTAATTCCTTTCCCCTCCTTTCCCACTACTTTCCTCAATACCCCCCGCTACCTCACCCTACCTCTCATTTCCCCCCTTCCACTTTAAGTCCTACGAATGGGGC